CAGCAGCCTATTTAGCGCTGTGCAGGGGCTCAGGGAACCCGCCCGGCCGGGACCTGCCGCAGCGGGGCACCCCCCCCCCAACTCAATCCCCAGACCTGCCACCGTTGGGGGAGGGGCGGCCTGAACTGAACCATGGCCCGGACCTGCCTCAGCCAGGGAGAGAGGTGCCCCAGTACTGGCCCAGTCCTCCCGTGGCTGGGGAATGGTGCCTATCCCATGGCTCCAGCCTCGGAGCTGCCACGGCAGGGAGAGGCGCCTTTCCCCCCAGCCCACATGCTGCTGCCGGGAGAGAGAGCTGGGGGGAGCCCTCTCTCCCAGCCGTTGTCCCGGAGCACCCTCCTGCACCCCAAACCCCTCATCCCCAGCCCCACCCCAGAGCTTGCACCCCTTGTTGGAGCCCTCACTCCCCCACACACCCCAACCCTGAGCCCCTCATCCCCGGCCCCAACCCAGAGCCCTCACCCCCTGCACCCCAACCTTCTGTTCCAGCCCTGAGCCCCTCATCCCTGGCCCCAACCCTGAACCTGCACCCCCAGCCAGAGCCCTCACCCCCTGAACCGCAATCCTCTGCTCCAGCCCTGAGCCCCCTCCCACATATCACGTCCATATTGGTGCACATAACTAGGGTGGATAATAATCAATTATTAAAATAAAATAAAAAAAAATAGGATTTTTTTTATAAAATGGTTCTTGAGGAAAACACCTATCTAAAGATAGCTTTAATTAAGATACATTATAGCTCAAATATGTCCCATCATGGGCTAGGGATTATACATTCTAATTCTATAGTATGAGACAATCTATTCATGTCATGTTGAAGAAAAGTTTTGTAAATGAGTTCCAATAGTTCATGGATGAGGGACCCAATTTTACGGGGTTCCAGGGGCTTCTGTAGAGATTATTTAGGTTAATCTTTCTATCTACCCAATGGGACTCAGTCTAGAAGATACCATCAGAGATGCTTAGTTTTGCAGTTCTCAAACTGTGGATTTGTGTCTCCAGAGTTAACATGCTTGTTAACCGCAAAAATGTTTTAAAATAAATAAATATACAGAGGTGAGCAATAGCAGACCTCAACTCTATTGTCCCTCTGCACATTTATGTACGCACAGTCAGTCCCTAACCTCTCTCTAAAAGGGCAAAGTTTCAAAAAGTTCAGTGAATAGAAGATTGTTGGGAACGGAACAGATCTGGACAAGGAGAAGAAGTCTGGAGATAAATGGGAGAAGGGAGGGACAGGCAGTAGAAACAAAAGTGAAACTGTTTGAGCAACATATTCCAGAAATCTTGAGGTCTTTCTAAGTGTAGCCTTCATTGATTTGAGATCTACCATACCGTTCTCTCACTAGACGGGAAAACCTATAATGGCAGCAGGCTGTAAAAGAGACCCAGTTTGGGTCTCATCTGTCTCTGAGTTGTGAAGAATATGGATTAAGGTTATAACAACCAACACGAATGCACTTTTATGAGGAAATCCATGATTAAATCGAGTCTTCCTGACTAGTGATTTAAATCATGATTTAAATCAATTTGATTTAAATCAAACCCACCCTGCACATAACAAAATTCATTCCGCACATGGGTGGGAAAAATTAGAGGGAGCACTGGCGGTGACTCCCATCCCCCAGGTCTGGGCCCGGCTCCAGCCGCTCTCAGAATTTGGAGAAGCCCGCTAGAGCGTCACGTAACACGAGTGTCCATGCACTGGTGGGGCTGGATACAGAACTTTGCCTGCCGAGTGGGGCAGGCAGGAATAGATGGGGCAGGGGCTGATAGTCCACTAGCCCTAGCCATCTGCCGCCTGTGGTGGGCTAGTGGATAGAGGACTGGGTGTCAGGAGATCCGTGTTCTATTCCTCTCTCTGCCACCGCCACCCGCGGGTCCGCAATAAATGAGCCTGTCTCCCTTTAGGCTGCGCTCTGTCTCTCACGCTGTGCCCACACCCGGCACAACGGGCTCTAGGTGCGACCGTAACACACCTCATAAAATCCAGAGCCGCGCAGTGACTACAGATACCTCCCAGCGTAGAGGCACCAGAGGGAGCCATCGGGTCCTGCACAGATCCCATGATCTACGCAGCCCAATCTTTGCCTGCCACCTATGGGCACCTCAACTATTCACACACAGGATAGCCCTAGGAGAGACCTTAAAAGAACATTGAGGTGCAGGGTCGAGCCCTCCAGCGTTAGGAACCGCCCGAATTCAGGCTGCCTGTGCACGCTTCATTCAGCCCCCTTGCGCGTGTGCATTAGAAACCAGTTGTTAATTACACCGTCCCCGCAGGACCCCAGCCGCATTCAGGGCAGGACGGCGCTCAGGGAGGGCAGGTCTACGCGATGACAATACCTCCCGCGGCAGAGCGTCTCCGAGCGAGGCTCTACAGACTCGGGCTGGCGTTGCAAATACCCGTGTCGACGGCTCTGAAACCCGGGGAGGGAGCTGGTTTCTGACCCAGAGCGCCAGCCCAAGCGGTAACATCTACACTGCTGTTTTTAGCGCTGTAGCCCGAGTCTGTAAACCTGGGCGCTGAGACTCACTGCCCCAGGTTGTTGGGGTTTTTTCACAGTGCAGACGTACCCCGAATGGGGAGCAGCTCAGTATTTCTTTGTCCTTCAGCCTGTGGCCTGAATCAGACCACAGACACAGTCCAGGCCCACGAAGGGGGACTGCAGTAGAACCCCAAGGGTACACACCACCACAGATCGAACTCCTGTATGGAAGAATTCTGCCACGGACCTAGCTACCCCCTTTAGGAGAGGTGGATTAACCGCAGTGACGGAGGAACCCCTCCTGTCCGCGCTGGTAGCTCCTACACTGAAGTGCTCCAGCTGTGAACACTAGAGGGGTTTCATTTGGGCAAGACCCATGGGCGGAGTTTATTTTGTGGGTGGAGCTGGGAAGAGAACCACCCTCCCCCGTCCTGTAAGTTTCCCCTTTCACACTTGATTTCATCCCCCTTCTCAGTCTATGCGATGAGATTCTGGGATGGTCACGCTGCAGCCTAGAGTGGGTGATGAGTTGGCGTGAAGTGATGACGACAGCTCCAAGACAGGGTGAGAGCTCTCTCGCTGTTTGGGATTCACGATTTTTAACTCTTGGCGCTTTGGGTTTTTTGTTTGTTTTAAACATACATAATTTTACAAATTACGCCCACTAATAGTTCGTCCCTACCGCTTTTCAATGGTAGATCTGAAAGCGTGTTACAGTAGAGCTTGGTATCGTTATCCCACTTTCACAGGGAAACTGAGGCACAGGGAGGGGAAGTGACTTGCACAATACCAACCCAGTGACTGAGTTGGTTCTAGAACCCAGGTGTCCTGACTCCCAGTCCCTATATGTTCCCAAAGAGCTGGCAACGGAGCCGGCTCACCTGGTGATACTGCGCGTCGTTCCACTGTTGTATGGCATCAGAGTTGGCCTGGAATTCAGCAATTACAGTTCTTCTGTTGGCAGCCAGGAGCTTGACGCAGATGGAGTATTCACAGCCACCATTTCGCTGGGTGCCCCACCTGCAGGACGGGAACAGATGTTTGGGAACAAGGAACCTCGGAGGGCAGCAAGAGGGAGACAGGACACAGCCCCCCGAATGTAGAAGGTAACAGGAATCCTGGGAACACACACAGCCGAATCCAACACACGCAGCGCCACCGGCTTTTTGGTCCCCATCAATCAGGGGATTGCACCAGCATCTTAGCTCCAAGCACCGTAACATCCTCACCCGCTGGTCTTGTCTAGCCCAGCAACTTCAGGGAAGCCCGACTACAATCCTAGCCAGCAAGTCCGAGAACAGACGTGACCTGCGATGTGCATTTGACGCAAGCCCCTGACCAAGAGTTGGGCGGGAGAAACTCACTGTTAATTAAAGCAGTGAGAAGGGTTGGATTTTTAAGGGCTAACAGGGCTCCCAACCCAAATCTCTGGGTCCTCCAAGGGGACCTCCAGCAAAAAAACAGATCAAACAAGGTGCAACAGGCTTGATATTTTTAAGGCTTAAAAAAACAACAATCCCAAAACAAACCCAAACCCTTTGATTCTGAGGCACAGGTGGCCCCTGTAACTAGAAATGAAGGAAACCACAGAGGTCTTATTTCAGTCATCAGAAATCAGCAGCAAAGACACAATCCCATTTCTTTCAGCAAGTCACCATTAAGGCCTCTAGGGAGAAGAGGGTGAAACTTACCAATCGGAGATGTAGATTTCCGGTTGGTAGGTATCCAGCAGTTCTTCCCATAACCCCTCCTCTAGAAGATCTACGAGCTGCGATTTGACACACCAGCTACAGAGGGGGACAGGAAACCCTAATAAAGACTCTGTGGACGCTAGGGGGAATAAGGGTTTTAGTGGACAGATGTTGAAATCCTGCTGTAGATAAGGCAGCTGTGGGTTTAACGTGTTGGCAGGTCAAGATGAACTCTAGGAAGAGACAATCGCTGTCCCACAGAGCACACAGTGTAGACACGGTGGGCAAAGGGTGGGAGGGGAAACCGAGGCACAGACAGAGGAAGTCGTTTTTGCTCACGGTCACCCAGCAGAGCCAGGAACAGAGCGCAGGTGTTCAAGCTTCCAGGCACTGCCCCAGTACGGCTCCCTGTGTAGACAGGCAAAGCGGCCATAAGCCATGATTTAAACTCATGGGGTCAACTCCCCCAGTGCAAATAACGTCTGTTATAGGAGTTTGCTGGGGCAGCTACGCCTGGGGCTGGAATCGGGGCAAATCAGCAGTGCAGAGAAGGCCTTGGGAGGGATAGCTCAATGGTTTGAGCATTGGCCTGCTAAGCCCACAGTTGTGAGCTCAATCCTTGAGGGGGCCATTTAGGGAACTGGGGTAAAAATCTGTCTGGGGATTGGTCCTGCCTTGAGCAGGGGGTTGGACTAGATGACCCACCTTCCAACCCTGATATTCTAAATCTGGAGCGACACTGTTCCCAGTTCTCACCTGCCAGACACCATGGGTCAATACCAACACCTTGGTAGTGTGTGTGTGTGTGTATGTCATAATGACACAAGGGCAGCACAGAATCTGGGTCTGCATCTGATCTCGGTTATACCACTGCAAATCCAGAGCCACTCCACTGAAGTGACTCCAGATTTACATAGGGCACAGGCAAGTTTCTGTGCAGTGAAGCAGCTTTTTGCACTGAAACTGCAGACGTGTACACGCTGCCGAGCCACTTTGTGGCAGAAACTCCTCAGCTGCAGCGCTGCAAAAACACCTCGGCGAGTCGTGAGGCTGTTTGCACAGAGGCTCCAGCGCTCATTGCCAGTGTAGACACTTGATTGCTATTGTGCTGTAATTGGCTTCCAGAGCTGTCCCATAATCCCTCAAGTGACATCCCAGCATTTCCCCCGTTCCCTGCCTCAGGGCTGGTTGCATCCTGCCACTGTCTGAACTTAGAAGACAGCATCTGACACCCTCTGTCCCCCAAAACACACTGTCTCTCCCCCCCCCCTCCACCCACTTCAGTTGAAAAGCAGCTGGCAATGTCCTAGGAGGCCCATGGAACAGTGGGATTGGGAAACCTGCATCATGTGACACTGTGCCTGCCCATGAGGCATTGCAAACCCTTCCCAAAGCCCCCTGCGGCCAGGTGCACAGTGGGAAGCTCCCACAATGCACTGCTGTCTTTGCCCTTGCAAGAGCTGCTAATGCATCACAAGGAGGAGAGTGTGGACACACAACAGCGCTTTAATTCCAGCGCTTTAATAAAAGTGGTATAACTTGTGGCGCAGAAACTTGCCAGTGTAGACACACCCTTAGACCATGTCTACTGTAGGAGCACTCTGCCGGTATAAGAATCCCAGGATACCCTGTTGGCAACTAAAACCACCCTCCCTGAGCGACACAAACTCTCCTGGTAACAGTGCACCGTGCTGTATCACTGAATCCACACCGGCTAGCACAGCTCTCTTCCCAACGCCTGACTGACAGATCTGTGCCGGTAGAAATCTGTAGCGTAGCCCTGGCCTAAATCCAGAGCCACTCCGGATTTACTGGTGTGTACATACACCTCTACCCAGATATAACGCAACCCGAAATAACACAAATTCTGATATAATGTGGTAAAGCAGTGCTCCGGGGGGGCGGGGCTGCGCACTCTGGCGGATCAAAGCAAGTTCGATATAACGCGGTTTCACCTATAACACCGTAAGATTTTTTGGCTCCCGAGGACAGCGTTACATCGAGGTAGAGGTGCATATTTGAGACATGACGGTACAAGGTGCAGGGCAGACTCAGGCCTGGCACCTGTGGGTCTCATTTATGCTCGGTCAATCCAGAGTGACTCTGGATTCAGAGGGGCACATGCCAGATCAGGACCGATCTGGCCTTTGGAGAACAGGTAGCTCTCTGCCGCACGGGGAAGGTGGTGGACAAACGGGAAGGCCCATGGGACAGACTCACTCAAAGGATGTGGTGAAGCAGGTCTGGGCCGGGGCGTCCTCAACCGGGCAGCCGTTCTCTTCCACCTTCCAGCCATCGCCCCCACGCTCCACCTGCCAGTGACTGAACTGATCTGTGGGATGAAGATGCATCAAGGGGGAGGACGGGGTGCAGTGGGAGCTGGTTTGATGGGATGGGGGACGACATCCTGGTGGGCACCCATTTCCAGGGGAGGAGTGGGTTAATGTGGTTCTCGAAAATAAACAGGGAAACAAATAAATATCGGGGGGGGGAGTGGTGGGGAGGAGGGAGACTCCACCCCCCCTTTTCTGACACCCCTCCCAGACTCCCAGGCACCTTTTTGCCCCAGTGCCCTCATCACCCCGTCCCCACCAGTGCCAATTTTCTCCCCCTCCCCCACTCTGGTGCTCCCTCTCCTTTGCCCCCCCAACACAACCCACACTCTCCCTGGTGCCCCTCCCCATATACACACTCCTCAGTGCTCCCCATTCACCTCCTGCTCTCCCACCTGGGCCCCCCTCCTCCAATGTCCTCTCCCCCTCCACCCCCGGTGGCACCTGGCATTGGCCACTGTCGGAAGACAGGACACTGGGGGAGATGGACCGTGGGTCTGATCCACTGTGGCCGATCTTATGGTGACCCCCCAACCTGCCCTGGGCTCCCCCGCATAGTCCCCCCCTTCCCTCTCCCACGCCCCCCCGGTCCGGCACCCACCCTGCCCGCAGGGGTTCCGGACCAGGTTGCGCCCGAAGGGCTCCAGGACGCAGATCCGGCTCCACTGCGGCGGGAGGCAGAGGCGGGCGGCCGCCAGGGTGGCCCCCAAGCCCGGGCGCCTCTCGCCCTGCAGCCGCCAGACCGTGGGCCCGTCGATGAGGTCCCGCCAGCGGCGACACACCAGCCGGCAGCGGGTCACCAGGGCGCGGCCCGGGACCCAGCTCAGGATCTGCGCCAGGAGCTCGTCCGGCAGCGGGTTCAGGTCCAGCGGGGCCGGGAGAGACGGGGGCGCCCACTGCACCAGCACGACCGGGGGAGCCCGGCTCTCCGACTGCCCCATGGCCGGGGGTCGGCCTGGCTCGCTCCGGCCCAGCTGCTACCGCTCCTCTCCGCATCCGCTCGTGTAATCCCGGCCCTGTCTCGGAGCCGCCCCTGGCCTCGTTTACACGGTACAAAGCGAGCACCGGATTCCCCCCTTGCCCGCTAGGGGGCGCCTGAAACAGGCTCCGGGTTCCCCGCTCAGCCCCGCTGCGGGGTCTGACACCGGCTCTGGTCGCCGGCTGGTGTAAACCGACGCCGCCCCCAACGCCCCTGTGCCTGGTGCCCCCCTCCACCTCGTGCCCCCTCCCCCGCACAGCGCTCCCCCACTTGGTCCCCCCCCCTCCAATGTCTTCTCGGTCCCTCCGGCACCTGGCATTGGCCACTGTCGGAAAACTCCCACCCCCCCTGCTCTCCTAGAGCCGGGGAGAGAACCCAGGAGTCCTGGCTCCCAGCCCCCCCTGCTCTAACCACTCCACTCCCCTCCCAGAGCCAGGGAGAGAAC